GGGGGGTGGGGGGAGGCAGTATTTCCTGCTGCCTTAGGTGGGATCCTTAGGAGTCGGAACCCACCTGACAGCAGCTCTCAGCATTACAGAAGAGGAACCAGGACCGCAGGAAGATACCAGTCTGGTCCGATGGAACTCCGGCAACTGTGCGTAAGGGCTTGGGGGACGAACTGTCCCCGGACACCGCTGGTGGGAAGGACACTCCATCACATTTCTGCACGAGCAGTCTGACAATGTCGATGACAATGTCGATGAACTTCGCCCAGCATCTCGTTCCACATGGGGCCACAGTCAATGCCCAGGGGGCCGTGGTCCAGAAATCACACCGAGTGTTGCGCTGGTCAGTCTGCTACCAAGACCCCTCTAAGGCTGCAGAGAAGCCAAGTAGGCCCTTGGAGGGCTAAGGTGCCCTGTTATTTTTTTAACCACCATCTGGGTCCCTGTGTGCCACTTGATAAGGGAACAGAGGGGCCCCCCAAAGCCCACGCCTCCATCAAAGTCACGTGTCTTCTGGGGAACCGGCAAGGTGAGCCTCCTCGGAACCCGGAAGTTAAAGCCACACAGCACTCTGGGTGTCCGTCAAGCAGGGTGTTGCTCAGACAGTGGCTTGGAGGCCTTCCCACGCCCCGCTCCCACTGCCTTCCTCGGTGCCGTGGAAGTCTCTGAGCGTGGCCAGCCCACCATCACCAGTCCCTCAGTGCCGTCCATGGAGCTGACGCCGGCTCATCGCGACCTTGTAAGACTGGGGGGAATGTCCCCTGTGGGATTCCGAGATTGTGAGTCTTTCTTTTTTAAAAATATCACTTTATTGGGGGCTTGTACAACTCTTATCACAATCCATCCAACCATCCATTGTGTCAAGCCCAGGAAAGAGGAGAGGAGCCTCAGCTCTTTCCACTGGCTGACCCTGAGGCTAAGGGTTATAAGGTGCCCTGCTGTTAAGGGTGTGCGCGCACACACACACACACACACACACACTAGCATGCGCACGCCAAGCCCCTTGATAGACGGAAAGTTCAAGGCACTTCAGGGAATAGCTGTCCAGTTGTTAGCTGACCACAAATCTAACCAAGCAGAGACTTTAGTCCTGTACCGGACAAAGAAGGGGGTTTCCAGGATTAGCCAGACAGCACCACCTGCAAAGCTCCCAGGCCCGGCACACTGGCAACTAACACATTAAGAAGGGACGGCTGTCAAACCTACAGCATTACTTACGATGAGTGTCCCTAAGAACCAAGGCTCAGGGAAGCCAGGTGTCACAAGAGCGGCCTCGGGTCTCCAGGAAGGGGATTAGGGTCCACAATTAATTCCAGCTCCGATCTAAGAACAATTCGTTCTTATGACATGGCCCCGCTTGATGCTCGTCCTCATGAGTCAGTCACGGATGACACAGGTGCTATAGCAAAGTGTGGTGAAGAAACCAGAGGTGCCAGTTATCAGAAGGAATAGCCTCTGGGGTCTTGTCTCAACACAAGCGGCCATCTAGATGAGGCATCGACCGACCGAGTCCACATGGAAGCAGCACACCAGCCTGTGTGATCCGAGCAGTGTAATTGATCAAATCCAAATCAGGAGGGAAGGATATCGGAGCTAAAACTGTGAACACCAGGTTTGCAGAAGGCTATGGATGATGACAGTGGTCCAGCCGCAGGGTCCCCATGAACTGGTCTTGCTGTCAGAGCACTGGAAGGTCGGTTTTGGCAGGTGTAGTGAGGTCTAAATGTCGTACCTATCATTTGATCTCCCGTTTGACCCACTTTAAAGTTGCTTCTGCTTTTAGTACTTTCTGCTTTCTTTTTGATTGAGGTTTTCTGTTTGCTCGTTTGTGTAATTTTCTGTATATAAACCCAGGACGGGTAGGTCCTATCCTGACAGTAACTGGATTGATAAAGGCCTAGAGGCATGGGCAGGGGAGACAGGGGGAAATGGAAGCGAGTAACAACCAGAAGAAAATGTTCTGAAACTGGTTACGGTGAAGCCGGCACAGATCTTAATGTGACTGAGTGATGTAATTGTATGACGTGAAGTATATTCCAATAGAGCTATTTTTTATGTAAATCACTTTATTGGGGGCTCTAGAAGCTCTTGTTAACAGTCCATACATCATTTGTGTCAAGCACCTTTGTACATATGATGCCATCATCATTTTAAAAACATTTTCTTTCTACTTGAGTCCTTGGTATCAACTCTTCCTTTTTCTTTTATTTTTAAAAAAATCTTTTTATTGGGGGCTTGTACAACTCTTATCACAATCCATCCATCCATTGTGTCAAGCACATTTATACATTTGTTGCCATCATTTTCAAAACACTTTCTTTCTACTTGAGCCCTTGGTATCAGCTCCTCATTTTTTTCAGCAAGCTAGTTTTAAAATAAGCCTTGCTGCCTTTTTTTAAGAAATTGACAAGCTGATTTTAAAATTCATATTAAAAAAGGGACTCAGATTAGCCAAGACAATATTAGAAGGGGGAAAAAAGTCGGGGAACTTATACTGCCTGAATACAAATTACCACAGCACCACCGTGACCGAGGCGTGGCACTAGCATGAGGTCATGCCTACGTTCAAAAGAAAGCGGGGCTGGGCGTCCAGAAGTAGCCCGTACAGTTAAGGGTGCACGGTCAAGGGCATCCTGCTTCCCCCTGCTGGGGGGCTGATCTCACTCACAGTAACTCCGTAGGACCCACGTAAAATCACCTGATTTCAACAAGGATGCCCAACGACCCAACGAGGAAGACGCCCAAAGCAGATGGTGTTGGCGGGTGACGGGCGGTGGACCCCACCTCACACCACGTAGAGAAAATCAACCCCGAACGGGGCTAGAGAGAACTCCGAAGCTCTCCAAGGAGACACAGGTGTCAGTCAGTCCCTGTGACCTTGGGCTGGGCAACAATGGTCCTTCGGGCGGCAGACTTAAAGCACTCATGTCCAAAGACAGATTCGATTTCATCAAAAACGTGAACATTTTGTGCTGGGAGGATACGATCAAGGAAGTGAAGAGACAAAGAGGGAGAAAACGCTTTCAAATCCTAGGAAGCTCTAGTATCCTGAGCGTGCTAATAAACAGTTCAGGACAAAAATCCACTTGAAAGTGGCTAAGGAGCTGGAGGAGCTATTTCTCCAATGAGGATACCAACAGGAAAAGAGGCTCCGCTCCGTGTCATCAAGCTGCGAGAAATGCCAATGAAAAGCACAGTGGCGAGGTGCCACCTTGCCATGGGGTGGGGTGGGGCGGCAGAACAGAGCCAGTAACAGGTGTTGGAGAGGTCGTGGGACTTGGCGCTCTCTTACGTGGCTGCTGTGGAGGCAGGCTGGCACGTACTCAGTCACAGGTTAGGCACAGAATGGCCACATGGTGGCCCAGACCGAGTGCTTAGGACAGCGGTGCCATTCACGAGAGAGAAGTCCTGTGACCAAGCCCGACAACATGTTCAGGACAGGCAGGCGCTGGACACAGTGAAGGGGGTCAGGGGGTATCTAGAGCCTGAGGGGCCTGGAGGCACACGGTGAAGTGCTTGGCTGCTAACCAGAGGGTGGGAGGTTTGAACCCACCCAGAGGCGGCTCTGTGGGCGAGAGGCCGGGATCTGCTCCCACAGAGATGGTCGCGTGGGGTCCATTCCGCAGGGGGTCCCCAGGTTGTCATCCTCTTCTGGGAGCCGAACGGGCTGCTTTTCTCCAGAGGAGTCCCCGGTAGGTCTAAGCCTCAGAACTTCAGTTTAGCAGCTAAGTGCCTGAGCGACTACAGCCCAGGAAACCCAATGGGGCAAGTCTGCACTGCACACTGGCCCTAGGGCACCCCACAGCCCTGAGTGTGAGGGAAGGGCTGGGACGGGAGCACCCAAGTCCCTCTCCAGGGTTGACAAAAGCCCAGACCGACCCTGACGGTGGCGAGGGGCACACGACGCTGGGACTAGGCTAGACACCCTGAGTTGGGCACTTGAGAAGGCGGCACTGTAGGGACCCACGGCCTATCTCAGCAAAGCAGGGGCTGTGTTCCGATCGGGAACCCCGCCAGCACTCCACCATCCCATGGAGGGGAGAGCAGCCAACAAGCACCACTGGGAGGGAGCCCCCACCACAACCACCACCATAGGCATGGCGGCTTGCAGGGAGACACCCCACAGGGCACACCACCCTTTTCTCACCCAGGGTCTTCCACCGGCCGGCGACCTGGCCACATAATCGGGGGAGCCACACTGACCAGAGCTGCACCCGACCCCGCCCTCCCCTGCTCCCCACACACACCCCTGATGGTGAGATGCAGCTCTGTGCCCAGCCTGCCACTCAGGCATGCCTCTGGTCCAGCAGGCGGGGGCGGTGGAGGAGCCAGACATCTAGTTCAGCGCATAATTAAACTGGTTCGCAAACTTCTCGTGCTTCTTGCGGTCCATCTGGTTCATGGCGGTGATGACCCTGCGCACAGCCGCCCTGCGGAGAAGCCAACGGTGGGCTCCGGCACTGCACCGTGCCACCCCCATCACCACACTGAGGGGCAGAGCAAGCACCCCACGCATCCCGGCCGGGCTGTCACTCGGGGAGGAAGCACCCCACCCTCAGGCCCGGGCCTTACTTGTGGAAGACTTTCTTCCCGATGCGCGCCCGTGCCGTGTCCGCCTGCTTCTTCAGGTCGGTCAGGTGCGGGTACTTCCTCTTCTTGCCCTTGCCCTTCCCTTTGCCCTTGCCACTGTAGCGCGATGACCCCAGGTCCACCCCAACAGCGGCCTCCACATCTCTCATGAGCTCTGGGTCCTGCCAGTCTGCCAGCAAACACAGGGATGGTGCTCTGGGCCAGGGGAGGGGCAGCCAGGGGACTCGCTACCCGGCCTGCGCCTGGGCCCCAGTCCCTGTGGCCAAAAGGGGTGAGGAGCAGGCAGGCTCTGTGGGTGAGAGCTGGCTGGGGGGCTGTCTCTGAGCACCCACCGGTCCCCCTAGTGGGAAAGGCAGGGAAGCAGGCGGGAGGCCACTGGAAAGCAGCTTCCCGGCCTGAGCCGACACTGCCCTGGCTGGCATGGCACCCTTGCTGCCCCACCTGCAGCTGGCAGATCTGTGTGGCAGGAGGGCTGGGCCTGCGGCATTGGTTGGACTGGCCACGCAGCAGGCCCGGCTAAGGGCGGGAGCTTTTGTCCACACAGACAGCATTGGCCCAACTGCGAGCCCACGGCTACCTGTCAGGTCCAAGGACGTACAGGAAGGAGATGGCCCGGGTGGGGTCTGCATCCAGCGGGAAAAGGAAGGTGGCCGCTGCCCCAGCAACGCTGGCCCTGCAGCCCGCACATGGCAGGCGAGGCAGCGACACACTGGCTGAGTCTAGCAGGCGTCTTTGCGGGAGCCTGGACCCCCCCAGGCCTCTGCATGCAGAAGGCTCAGTGTGCTGCCCAGCCAGACCACCAGGGATCCCCTTGGCTGTCACCGGGCGAGCTGCCCGGTCCCGGGAAGGGCAGTGATAACCTGGACACCTGGTGTAGAAGGGTACTGGCTGCAGGCGGAACGGAGCCGGGAGGAAGGCAGGGGCCCCCGACAAACGGATGGCCAGGCCTGCCCGAGCAGATTTTTTGAAGTGAAGGACGACAGGGCCGCCCAGTTCAGATACAGGAACGATTACTCCAAGATTAAGGAAAACTGTCTAAACAGTTTATCTCCCAGTAATAAGAAGGCGTCACAGTGCAGGAGCCCGGAGAATGGAGCGATTGTTTAAACACAACGGGAAAATGCCGGCATCCAGTCCAGATGGAATGAGCACCTCAGGAAAATGAAGGAGCAATTTAAAAGCCTTTGAGGAAAATCAATAGCTGCTGGACCGCGCGGCCTTCCTGAGCGCTGACGGCCGCGCCCGCGCACATTGTCACCGGGTGAGCCGGGGAGCGGGCGGCGGATCGATACTGTCGTTAGTAAAGAGATGCTATTTCACATCTGACTGGCCAGCGGCTGCCGGCCGCGCCCGGCTACCTGGTTGTTAGCAAGTCACCCAGGGCTGCAAAGCCAGATACTCTTCAGAGCTGACACCAAAAATAGGCACTCAATTTGCTCCGAGGGTGAGCCACCAGGGAAGGCCCGGCTGGCAGATTAACAGGTCAGGCCCTCCCCTGCGACACCGGGGCCCCCAGGCCTGGGCCACGGGAACGCAGGGCTTGCTCTCTGTAACCAAGGCGCCGGCCGCTGGCAATGACGGGCGGCCTGGAAGGGTGGACAGCTGCCCCCACCCAGCACCCACATGCCCATGGCATGCCATCCCCCGCAGAGAGAGCCCTGCTGATGAGGAAATAGAGCCGAGACTGGGCAGGGCCCCCAGCCATGGGTCCTGGGAGACAAGACGCCACTCGCCCATCCCTCAACACTGATACTTCCAGCACCTCACCAACCCCGCCCGACCCCGGCCCGGCCCTGTGGGCCAGTGCAGGGCACCCACACTGGCCGGGATAACCATCTGGCGCTGAAGCCCACCTGCTCATGTGTTGGAGGCTGGCCTAGGACACCGCAACCCCTGGACAGACACACGGCTCTGCCCAGACTACCCCGCAATGCTGGCTCAGAGGTCCACTCAGCCACCTGGCACCTCTCGGGCAGTGTGTGCCCACTCAGCTCGCACATGCCTGTGCTCACACCCA